CGTGGCCCCTCCATCCTCGCGGACATCCAGCATAGGTGCTGTCACACGGCCGGCCGGTTCCCTCTTCCGTACCGGGGAGTAGTTTCCCTGACTCCTTCTAAAGAGGCTCTTATGTGAAAAAGACCAAGTGGAAGTGCGGGGGGGCCTCGGAACAGGGCCGTGTATGAGAATTCTCGTGTAAAGGGGTGACAGTGAACACAGACCAGGAGGAACCCGGCCTCCGGGTTAAGGTGCTAAGCAGTCAGTCACCTGAGGCTTCCACCTGCCTCTGGGTCTGACATGACATCTCAACACTCCTCCTCCAGCTTGAATAAACCAAAGTACAATGTCACTATTCATTAAGAGTTCATATGAATAAAGGTTTGGAAAGCCAAGTAGATGTTTCATTAGGATATTATGGGAGGGCGCTGGGGGCAGGCAGAGGTGGGAGGTGAGGGGCGTGTTAAGGATAGCCTTGTGCTGGAAAACGAGAACCGAGCCCGCCTCTTAGATTCCTGACAAAGAGAGGCCGAGGAGACCCAGGTCTGACGATACTGGAAAGTCTTCTAGAAACCCCTCTAGAACAGCCCCCTCCAGGTCCGTGGAGGCAGAAGACTCAGGAGTAACAATGGCACCGACTAGCTCAGTAACCCGGACTGGTCACGGCCACCTCCTCCCCTGTGCACCAGCTCACACAGCAATATAAATGTTCTCAAGGCTGTCTGGCTCAAGTTAGATAATGGAGGTGAAAGTACTTATTAACAAGGAGTTAAAATAAATGCTCTTGTTGCCACAATTACGACAACTCTGCGCGTGTGTGTTTGTTATAAGGTGTGCGCACTCACTAGAGAGAAAGAGCAAGCACGCCCTGGGGGAGTCTCTTCTTTCCATTTTCCTCTTGGGACTTTGAGCACACATGCACACCAGCTCAGCCTGTTCTTCATGCTGCCTGGCTCAGGACTTGAACCACTCAGGCAGCCATGTGGGATCCAGCCGCCTTAACAACCATACCACTGACTGTCCCTGATTTTGTAGCTTTAATTACATTTGTACTCACAGATCATTGTTCATTTCATTTTTGGTACTATGTGCCACTAAACAGCGATAAGAGCTTGAATTCGCTTGTTCTCAACCGCAAAGTGCCTGGTCTGGGCTGCACGTTGCTCCCGGGAATCGCGTCTTCCCTGCCCTCTCAGCTTGCCGAGTCTATGACTCCACCTCGGCTTCTGCTGCAGGGAATTCCCACTGGCTTCATCCCCTTCTCCTCCCAAGCTCAGTTTTCTTCTTTTACATAGGATAAGGGCTGGAAGGGAATTATATTCTGCCTCTTTGCTCTTAAGTGCCAAATGTCCTTTGCAAAGGGCTTGTCTTCCTATTTGAGTATAGAAAGCGCAAAATCACTTCATTTAATACAAGGAGAAAACAGCAGGCAGAGCCGCTCGGGGTGGGGGCAGGGGGTGTCTGCATCTCCGTGGGATGACAAGAAAGGGCCGTGGGGTGGCCCGGGCCTGGAGGCTGCGCCGTGCTCAGCGCTCATCCTGAGCCAGGAAGTGATGGCGTCACCTCACATGAACTGCCAGGCCATCACGTGCCCCAGCCACTTCTAGTCTCGAGGGGTGTGGGGAGAGCGGGGAGAGGAACATGGGGCATGGGGAAGTGGGTCGCGGGGAGAGGGAAGGAGAGGCCGCACGGACACGGTGGGAAAAGTCCCAACTCTTCCCCTCACCCGGGCCTTCTCCTTCTTCCTTTGGGCGGGCGCTATTTCTCCTCCCCGTAACCAGTGTCCCACCGTGAAGTTCTGAATGTCACCACACCCCCATGACACCTAGTTTCCGGTTTTTTAAAAAGAATTATTTATTTACTTTTATTTATTCATTCATTTATTTTAATTTGATCAAAGAAAGACACAGATGGAGAGAGAGAGGAAGTGAGAAAGCAAGCCACCAGATTCAGGACTTGAACCATGGTCAGCCATGTGGGAGTGGCCAGTGCCTTAACCACCATGCCACCTGCTAGTCCCCAATTTTTTTGACACTAGCAACAGCGCCTATGGAGGACAGTGAGCACCGGCCCTTCACGCAGTGTCCAGCGCTCAGACCCTCGTACCTCTCCTTCCTGTTTCCATCCTGACTGGCCAAGAGGAGGAGGGTGCAGAGTGGCTGGGCCAGCCAAGATGTGAGCACCCGGTGCATCACCACCTCGGGCCAGCCTTCTCGCTATTTAGTATGCTCATGCTATTCAGCCCAGAAATGTGACTGAATTAATTAGTGGTGCATGATGGAGAGAGGAAAGCGAAAAGATACAGTAGACTTTCTTGGTACAAGAATTTCAGAAAAATGAGGAGTCATGGGTGGTACTCGTGAAAAAGGAAACTGAAGGCTCTGCCCTGGGACGAAGCTCCCGGTGCGGTTAACCGAGGGGAAGCTTTGGGACTGAGGCTGCCGTGTTCAGGCCTCCCTGCTTGTCACCGAGAGGAGCACCCCACCCCACGTCACCTGTATTAGCATGAGGAAAACCGGCCCAGCGGTAATGCAAGTCTCTGTCTCTCTCTGGTGAGTGCACGTACCCTATAGCAAATGAAAATAATAATGATAAGGGCCAGCAAGTGGCGTTGGAGTTAAGGCGCTGGACTCCCACATGGGTCAGCCATAGTGTAAGTCCTGGACCTGGTGGCTGGCTTTCTCACTTTCCCTCTCTCTCTCTCTGGTCAAATTAAAAATAATAATGATGATAAATAATTGTTAAAATAATTCAATCAATAAGGTTTTTTAAAAAGTTATGGGGCTTTATGTTTTGAGAGATTTTGCTATAGAGCACATGTACTCACCCGAGAGAGAGAGAGAGACAGAAAACAAGAAATCACCCCCCAAGGGAGATGGCCACACCACAGACCTTTCTTCTCCATTCTTTTCTTTGGATTTTGGGTATCCACACACCTGTGCTTGGCATGAGTTTCAAGTTGCTGAGTCTGGGATTTGAACCGCAGTTGACCACGTGGGAGTCCAGTGCCTTGACTGCTATACTACCTGCTGGGCCCTGAATAAATACTTAAGAGACATCAGAGATCTGGAGTGCTGATACATCTAAGTCCTCAGCAGTCTTGAAAAGGGGGAACTAAATTTCTTCCCTGTTCTTCTCCTTGTTCCTCCTTTGTGTTAGACGTGTCATTGGCATTCTGCGAACTGTTTCCTTATAATAATTTCTAGTACTAGTTTAGAGTTGCACATTCATTTACTTTGGAATCATGTCTCCTGAAATGTGTTTAAGAGCAGAGGCAGGTTACCCAGAAGCCCAGCAGCCCGGCTGGCATATCCAGGAAGTGCAGTGCACATCTGAACAGTGCCAGCTGCCGGCTGGGAGGTCTGATTGTTCCGGGCAGTCAGGTTCAGTAACTTGATCATGTGGTTGCTCAATATTGACCATGGCTGGTTCATGCTGGAAGGCCATGTGTTAGACAGCAAGGAGACTTGTGGGAGTTCCGGGAAGACTGGTCTGTGTTTATCTATTTCATTTATATTAATGACAGCGCAAGAGAGCACCCCCCTGGGGTGTGTTTATACTGCAATCCTTTTTTTCTCCATGTTGTCAGGACCCTGGACATGTGCCCACACATACCCGACATACTTTTTAACCTGTGGTGGCTGAAAACTGAACCATGGTCAGCCATGTGAGATTTGAGCCCTACACACCACGCCCACCTCTACTCTACGGCACCCCGATTCTGGTCTTTCCGATCTTCTTTTCTCACTCCCACTTCCTCAGACTGTCTGTCAGTGGGGAAGGTAATAAAGCCTCTTGGGAGGGGAGGCAGGATTGGAGCACAGACGCTGCTAGGGTTGGGGCAGAGCTGGAGTTCGGCTTCTGATGCCCAGAGCGTGTGTCCTGGCCCTGCCACTCAGGAGCTGTGCCACTTTAGGAAGTGCTTGGCCTCCTTGTTAGATCATCTGCCCGTACAGTGGTGGTTGAGATGTCGTGGGTAGGATCCAACCAGCCACCATGGACACACCCTTCCGGGCCTGCCGGTGGGAACCATCAGCCTGCTGGCTGGGAAACCTGGGGGTGGTGCCCCCCTCCCCCAATTTCAGTAAAGGTCTGTGGTCAAGTCCCCTGCTCAGGCCTCATCTCGTCTGCTGGGACTTAATGAGCATAATAGAGTCCTCGTCTGCGTAGGAGCCCATGAAAGAAATCGCAGTGCGATCGGGAATGCCCGTGTCTAATATAGAAAGAGGAAAAGTTGCCGTGGTGGAAGGGAGGGGGCCCAGTGGCCCTGTCTCTCTAACCCCGTTCTCAGACTCCCTAAGCTGGGCTCTGAGGGGCTCGCAGGACTCCAAGGATTCCACACCGCGGTTCGAGAAAATAATTCTTTTCTTAGAGAATTATTTATCATCATCATTATTTTTAATTTAACCAGAGAGAGACAGACAGGGAGAGAGAGAGAAAGTGAGAAAGCCAGCCACCAGGTCCAGGACTTACACTCCGGTCGACCCATGTGGGAGTCCAGCGCCTTAACCATGATGCCACTTGCCGGCCCTTATTATTATTATTTTCATTTGCTATAGGGTACGTGTACTCATGAGAGAGAGAGAAAAGAGAGAGAGAGAGAGAAAGTGAGAAAGCAGGCCTCCAGGGGTCTGGGACTCAAACCACGGCCGGCCACGGGCTGGCCCCTAGATATGTAATTTAAATAACATGCACACATCATTTAAAAGTCGCTGTGCCTACACGGTACGGAATCACCTCCCCCAAAGGCTGAGCTTAGTGACCGAGTTGGCTGCTCTGTGTCACTGACTCACGGGGAAAGGAATACGAGCATACAGGGGCAGACGTGTCTTACGGAAGATGACCCCCAGTCGACACGACACGGCACACACATACCGCGTGACTCTCCTCGTCTCCAAGGAAGCCTACTTTGAAAGCTGTCCTGCTCATTACTGCGACTGGAAACATTTCCCAGAAGTCCCTTCTCCTGGAACACCTTCGTCATGAATTCGAAGCGATGCACATGCACGTCCACTACTTACCTGAGCAGAAAAGTCAATGAGCTTCGGAAGCAGCACTTTACCACCCTCGTCACTCTTCAGGAAATCCAGCAGGCTCCCTGTTCAGCGAGGAAGAAGGAGTTAGTGTGGCTCAAACATGCAAGAAAACAGCATGCACACAAAATTCGGACGGCAGCCAGGGTTAGCGGGAAACCACGGCACCAGGGGCTGCTGATCCTGCCTGGCTGGAAAGCCTTTGCCTGAGCTTCGTCAAATCCGGTCCCCTCTAGCCCGCCACCTTCAAGCTGCTGTGAAACAGCGTGTGCTCCAGGTGGGAAAGGGCGCAGAGGAGACTGCCTCGCTGTCCACAGGTGTCACGTTCCTGACCACTGCCACCGTGTGGTCGTGTGGTCGGAGCCCCTGGAGGAGCCCCGGCCCCTCCTCGCACGCCGCCCTCCACAGATCCCCTGCCAGGCCGGCTCTCATCTGATACATCTGGTAAAAAGCACAGAACGAGGGGCCTGATGGCGGCACAGCGGCAACGCAATGCTCTGCAAGGCTGACCCACATGGGAAGGTTCTAGGTTCTAGTCCCGAGAACTCCTTGAGCAATGTTTGGCCACAGACCCGGTTAGGGGCGCTGTCTTTGTCTCAGTCTCCCTTGCTCATGGAATAAAGAAAGAAATTTGAAAACAAAACAAAAAGCAAAACAAAAAACAAAACCAAAAAGCACACAGAACTTGGCCACGCCCTAAGTGCTCCAGGAGGACCTGACAAATGAACTGTGCTCTA